CCTCATCTTCCCACCTCAGAACTTGGAGTGGAAAATGTTTTCAGCAGGGCCAGTGGGAATGTTTTCGAAACTGGCCCAGAGATCACGGCAGGGGGAACGAAAGCTCAAAGCGGGCCACAGTTCATGAGAAAGCTCATGTCCGAGCCAAGTGCCATTGCTCTGATTATAGGAATAAGACCGTTTCCTACCTTCATACTACACCTTAGAGTCCTCACACAAAGTATCTGCCTTGATTCTCCCAGCTCCCATCAGGGGAGGGGGCAAGCTGAATAAAGCTGCATTTTACAACTGCAAGAAGCATAAGCCTTCAGGGGTTCAGTGACTTGCCCAGGGTAGTACGGCCACTAATTGAAGCAGGTGGCTTAGAATGCAGATGTTCCAGCCTGAATTCTCAGCCTTCCTTCTGTCCTTGTGGAGGGCACTCAGCTCTTCCACTTCTTGCAGTGTGGCCTTAGGCAAACCGTCTCCCCTCCCCAAGCCTCTCCTTTTTCCCCAGTAAAACAGGAATGATAACTTTTACCTCACTGGGACATTGCAATGAATAAAAGAGACAATATATGTAAAGCATGACATGAGCATTAAATAAACATCTTCTCTCTTCATTTCTCTTTTCCTAAGAAGGAAAGTCCTCTGGAGAAAATGGCTGGTGACAGCTGGTGGGAGATGAGTGTCAGTGAGCCTGATACTGGGTTTTCCCCCTCTTCTACGTCAGGTTGACCTGCGGTGGACACGAGCAAGGACAGACAGTGCTCCCTTATCACTGAGGGACAGGCTGACTCAGGCTCTCGGGGGATAACCCCTATAGTTCACTCATCTCGCACTAGGAGCTGCCCTGCCATCTTTGTTCTTGTTGTTAGGTGCCTTCGAGTCAGTTCCAACTCACAGTCACCCTGCGTACAACAGAACAAAACACTGCCCCGTCCTTCATCATCATCACAATCACTGCTATGTTTGAGCCCGTTGTTGCAGCCACTGTGTCAATCCATCTTGTTGAAGGTCTTCCTCTTTTTCATTGACCCTCTGCTTTACCAATCATGATGTCCTTCTCCAGGGACTGATCCCTCTGATAACATGTCCAAAGTAGGTGAGACGAAAGCTTGCCATTCTTGCTTCTAAGGAGCATTCTGGCTGTACTTCTCCAGAGACGGGTTTGTTCATTCTTCCAGAAATGCACGGCATATTCAATATTCTTCACCAACATCGTAATTCAAAGGCATCAATTCTTCTCAGGTCTTCCTTATTCACTGTCCAGCTTTTGCATGCATATGAGGTGATTGAAAATACCCTTAGGTCAGGCACACTTTAGTCCTCAAAGTGACATCTTTGCTTTTTGACACTTTAAACGGGTGTTTTGCAGCAGATTTGCCCAATGCAAACATCATTTGATTTCTTGACTGTTGCTTCCATGGGCACTGACTGTGGATCCAAGTAAGATGAAATCCTTAAAAACTTCAATTATTTTCTGTGTTTATTGTGATGTTGCTTATTGGTCCAGTTGTGAGGATTTTTGTTTTCTTTATATTGAGATGTAATCCACAGTCAAGTCTTTGATCTTCATCAGTAAGTGCTCCAAGTCTTCTTCGCTGTCAGCAAGCAAGGTTGCGTCATCTGTGTATCGAAGGTTGCTAATGAGTCTTCCACCAATCCTGATGCCACGTTCTTCTTCATATAGTCCAGATTCTCAGATTATTTGCTTAGCATACAGACTGAATAAGTATGGTGAAAGGATACAATCCTGACACACACCTTTCCTGATTTTAAACCACGTGGTATCTCCTTGTTCTGTTTTTACGACTGCCTCTTGGTCTATGTACAAGTTCCTCATGAGCACAATTAAGTCTTCTGGAATTCCCATTCTTTGAAATGTTATCCATAATTTGTTATGATCCACATGGTCCAGTGTGTTTGCATAGTCAATAAAACACAGGTAAACATCCTTCTGGTATTCTCTGCTTTCAGTCACGATCCATCTGACATCAGCTATGATATCCCTGGTTCCATCTCCTCTTCTGAATCCAGCTTGAATTTCTGGCAGTTCCCTGTTGATGTACTGCTGCAACTGTTTTTGAATTATCTTCAGCAAAATTTTACTTGTGTGTGATATTAATGATATTGTTGGATAATTTCCACAGTCTATTGGATCACGTTTCTTTGGAATGGGCACAGATATGGATCTCTTCCATCTTTAGAAGGCATGATACGCTTCAGCTTTGGGACTGAGCAAAGGGTATTTGAAATAAAATGTCAGAGGTGACTTTGGAGATACTTTTATTACCCTGCATTGATCCATATTTCATTTTTACTTCTTATTAATTACTTTGTTTAAACTGAACCTTCAACAAAGGCTCTAGGTAATCCAGAAGTGTAGAGTAGAAGGTAGTCTAGGTTCTAGGTAATCTAGGCAGAAATTATCATTACATTTTCTAGACAAGGTAAATGGTGCTTAGAAGGATTATACCAAGACACGCAGAAGTCAGTGATGGAGCTGAAGCCCGACCTTAGACCTTCTGGTTCCTAGCTTGCTTCTCTTTCAGCGCACCTTGCTGCCTCTCACAAGGAGCCCTGGGGGTGAGGTTGTTAAGTGCTCACCTGCTGACTGAAAGGTCTCCACTTCTAGGGAGAAAGATGTGGCAGTCTGCTCCCATAAAGATTACAGTCTTGGAAACTCTGTGAGGCAGTTCTACTCTGTCCTGTAGGGTTGCTATGAGTCAGGACCTACTGGATGACAATGGGTTTTGTTCCTGTCCCAACAAAACTGAAAGTCAAAATTATTTCCCATGAGCAGAAGGGGTTAGAACTCAGTTGCTTGGACTCTACTCTTGCCTATTACACAAGGAAATGGGCAGAGGTGAGGACCACTTTCCCATCCCTTGACCTTTCCCTTCCCATATACAAACACCAGGCATGACCAGAACTCCTGAATTCTCAGCTGAGTGCTAGTCCCTCTGTGGATTATCCACAGCTGGCTGAGACCAACCAAACATCTAGGCCACAAAACTCTGCCTTTATGAAGGACTAGGGAGAAAATCAAATGAAGTATCCAAAGACAATTAGAAAGGTAAATCTGCTTCCAGAATCATGTGGAACAAGGGAAACCAAGTATCGGGGCCCTGCATGCCAAGTCACAACGCAGACCTCCGCGGGCAGACTGAAGGTGGCGCTGGAAGTGTTCTAGAGCACTACCGTCTTAGCTCTTAGGCAACGACTCTCTCACCCGGAAGCCACGCGATAAATGCCTGACTCCCCAAGAGACTCATGTATGAAACAGGAGGCTCAGCTCTCACAAGACGTGAGCACGCGCTTTCCTCGTTCCATGGTCCCACAGATCATCTGTTCTCCACGAAGTAAATTTGGCTCTAAAACAAATCTGCGTACTTGGAATTCTCCCTAGAGGCTCAGGCCCTGAGTTGCCTCCTGGATGGCAGCATCTCTGCCGCATCCATATTTGAACCCTCCGCACAGAAGGCTGCACTTGCTAGGTGTCAATTAACCGGAAAACTGAATTTCTGTGTAGTATAGGGTCAACAGAAGCCCCTGGGTGATAAAAATGGTTAACTCACTTGGCTGCTAACAAAAAGGTTGTAGGTTCGAATTCACCCAGAGGTGCCTCTGAAGAAAGGCCTGGTGATCTATCTCCAAAAATCAGCCATTGAAAACCCTACAGAGCACAGATCTACTCTGACACACATGGGGTCTCCATGAGTCAGCGTCGACTTGACGGCAACCAGTTTTTTTTTTTTTTTTGTGTGTGTGTGTGTGTGTGTAATACAGAGTCAGTAAATAATGCATCCCTGGGAATAATCTGATACAATGTCTAAGATTCATATCTTGAATATATCTTTAAAAAATTTAAATCCAAGGTAAGGGCAAAGGCATTCAACTATGTGGATCATAATAAATTATAGGTAACATTGCAAAGATAGCATTGAAATGGGAATTTCAGAACACTTCCTTGTGCTCGTATGGAACCTGTACATGGTCAAGAGGTAGTCCTTCAAACGGAACAAGGGGATACTGACTGGTGAAAATTGGAAAAGGTGTGTGGCAGGGTTGTATCCTTTTACCTTACTTATTCAAACTGTATGCTGAACAAATAAATAAGCTTCTTAATAAACTTATCCAATCTGTATGCAGAACAAATAAATAAGCTGGACTATATGAAGAAGAACGCAGCATCAGGATTGAAGGAAGACTCATTAACAACCTGTGTTATGCAGATGACACAACCTTGCTTGCCAAAAATGAAGACGGCTTAAAGCACTTACTGATGAAGGTCAAAGACTACAGCCTTCAATATGGAATACACCTAACTCTGAAAAAAAACAAAAATTCTCACAACTGAATCAATAAATAACATCAGGATAAGTGGGAAATAAAAAACTGAATTGTCAACAATTTTCATTCTACTTGGATCAACTATCAATGTTCATGGAAGCAGCAGTCAAGAAATCAAATTTGCATTGGGCAAATTTGCTACAAAAGACCTCTTTAAAGTGTTAAAAAGCAAAGATGTCACTCTGATGACTGAAGTGCGCCTGACCCAAGCCATGGTCTTTCCAATTGTTTTACACGCGCGCAAAAGCTGGTGGATGAAAAAGGAAAACAGAAGAAGAATTTATGCAGTTGAACTGTGGAATTGACAAAGAATATCAAATATACCACGGGCTGCAAGAATGAGCAAATCAGACTTAGAAGAACTATAACCAGAATGTTCCTTAGAAGTAACGATGACATTGGACCCGTCACCAGTAAAGACCAATCACTAAAAAAGGACATCATGTTTGGTAAAGGAGAAGGTCAGTGAAAACAAGAGAAACCCTCAATGAGATGAACTATGCAACAGCTGCAGCAATGGACTCCAACATATCAACGTATCAACAATGATCATGAAGATGGTACAGGACTGAGTAATGTTTCCTTGTTATACACAAGGTCACCATGAGTCAGAGCTAACTTGATGGCAACAACAAGAACAAGGGGCAAGGAAGACATAGAATTACCTCTTCATAGACACCACATCCTGTAATTACAATATTGGGCCTGAAGTTGGTTGCTTTAACTTTCTTCTCTAGTCTGGAGTTGAGATCCGCCAAGGATGCCTCAGAAAGAATCAAGAATGGGCTGGCATCAGGGTAAGCAATCTGATAAGGAAATAGAAATGTTTATCATAGGCGGCAACAAATGAACTTCTCAGAGGTTACATTGTCTAGTACCTGGAAACCCACCCAGCCACCCACACACCCACCCACCCACACACACACACGACATCTAAGTATTTCTCTGGTTCTTTTTTATAGAAAACCACAGTGATTCAGAAGCCTTAAATAACCTTGCAAATACCAGGAACTGCCTGGTAGAGTGAAGAGAACATGGTTCCAGAATCACAGAGCTTCTGCTAGGTATGTGCCCTGGGGGAAATCACGCCATCTTTGGAAGCCTTTATGTTCTCACATGCTTCATGGGCTTGATGACCTCATTATATTTGATAAAAACCAACAACCAAACCTGTTGCTGTGGAGCCGACTCCAATTCATAGCGACCCCATAGGACAGAGTGGACCTGCCCCGTAGGGTTTCCAAGGCTGTAATCTTTACAGAGGCAGACTGCTACATCTCTCTCCCGTACAGCAGCTGGTGGGTTCGAACTGCTGACCTTTCAGTTAGCAGCTGAGAGCTTAATCACTGCAACACGAGGGCTCTCACCATATTTAATAAAAACATTCATTAATTCCATGGACACTTATTTTTTTATGCAACCTGTAAATAAATGTTATGCACTTACGCTGACCATAATTTTTTAAAAAATATCCATAGTAAAGTAGGGCTTGTTGCTCCCAACTTTACTTTTATTACGAATTCTTACCACCTTATTCCTTTTGGAGCCCTGGTGGCGCAGTGGTTAAAAACTTGGCTGCTAATCAAAAGGTCGCCAGTTCGAACCCACCAGCTGCTCCTTGGAAACCCTATGGGGCAGTTCTACTCTGTCCTATAGGGTCGCTATGAATCGGAATCGACTCGATAGCAACGGGTTTGGTTTTGGGTTTTTTTATTCCTTTTAGGGCCGGTCTGATTAATTTTAAGTCCAGGGATGTCCATACCCACACCCATTTGCACAACTGCAGTCTGACACCCAGCTGCAACCTGTGGAGCTCAGAAAGTAAAAATTCCGGACTCCGCATGCAACTACAGAATGGATTGAATAAGACCCTTATGTAGAAGAGTTTTGAAATGATATTGGCACCAAAATCGTTACATAAATAGGAAGATAAGTGCTCATGGGCAAAAATGCAAGTGAATCCCCAAATCAAGAAACACAGCTAGGGCTCCCAGGGGAAGGCCCTTATTCTTGCCTATGGCTTGTGATCCCCAGTCACTGTCCAGGTGTCCACCTGGGAAAAAGCCAGAGCTGTGCTCATCACAGAGGTGCCACCTGGGGCCTGATGGGTTGGAAGCAGACGGCTCTCCACCCTGGGAGGAAGCCTTCCTGCACAGGACACCCCAAGCCTAAAGCCACGGGCTGCTCCTCTGACCTTCTCGGCGGGCGGGAACACGTCCTCTATTTGGTGAGGATTTCTTGGCCGCATGTGAGGCTCAAAGCGCACCAGGCGGTAGGGCTGCGTCTTCAGGAAGCTGGTTATCCACTCGGCAGCGGTATCGCCACAGTCCCTGCCCTCTATCTCCAGGCCGTGCACTCTGCAGGGAAGGCAGGAGCAAAGGATGGACGTGGCTTTGAAGATCTTGGGTCCCTCGCACGTCCTACACCTATCAGAAGAGCTACACCAAGCTGTGATGTTGTTGTCACCCCTTCTCCATCAGGAGCCAGAGGTGGAGCCCCAGCCCCACCTCTGAGCCACTCTGGAAGCCTCACTGAAGGTCTGAAGCCTCACTTTCCCCACTGTTGAGTCCCTGGGTGGTACAAATGGTTAAGCACTTGACTACTGACCGAAAGGGTGGTGGTTTAAATCCACCCAGAGGTGCCTCAGAAGAAAGTCCTGGTGATCTACATGCAAAAGATCACAGCCATCGAAAACCTTATGGAGCACAGTTCTATTGTTACTCACGTGAGGTTGTCATGAGTCAGACTCAACAGCAACTGGTTTGGTTTTCTCCCCATTTTAAAGCAGCGATGCACGGCTGTGGCTCGCTGCCTCAAAGGAATCCGAAAACCTGTTGTCAAGTAGATTCCGACTCATAGTGACCCTGTAGGACAGAGTAGAACTGCCTCATAGGGTTTCCAAGGCTGTAATCTTTACAGAAACTGCCACATCTTTCTCTTGAGAAGTAGCTGGTGGGTTCAAACCACCGAACTTTCGGTTAGCAGCCAAGCACTTAACCACTGTGCCACCAGGGCTCCTCCAAAGAACTATACCAAACCAAACCCGTTGATTCCTACTCACAGTGACCCTACAGGACAGAGTAGAACTGTCCCATAGAGCTTCCAAGGCTGTAAATCTTTATGGAAGAAGACTGCCACATCTTCCTCCCACAGAACGGCTGGTGGGTTAGAACTGCCGACCTTTCGGTTAGCTGCTGAGTGCTTTAACCACTGCACCACCAGGGCTCCCCAAAGGACTATAGGGAGGATAAAATGAGATTATATATTTGAAAATATACGGAGTCTTCCAGAAGACAGCTAATGTAGTAGTACAAGACAAACTTATAATGACTGCAAAATCTGGTTCACCCAGCTAGATAGCAACCAGAAATCTCTATTAACAGGACTGACTATACTGTGCCAGTATAATGCTAATAAAACTAGATGTAGTTAATATAATGTGAAAATGTTCTCCAAATCTAAAACATGACAGATATCAGTAATAACCTAAGTGTTACTGATTTGACCACTAGTGATATGAAGTCCTCAAGTGGTGTAAACCGTTAACTGGTCAGCTGTTCAACCAAGAGGTTAGTGGCTTGAGTTCACCCAGAGGCGCCTCAGAAGAAAGGCCTGGCAATCTACTTCTGAAAAATCAACCACTGAAAGCCTCATGGAGCACAGTTCTGCTCTGACATACATGCGGTCGCCACGAGTCAGAATTGACTCAACACCAACTGGATTTTTTGTTTTTGTTTTTAAATAACTGCAGGATTTGAATCCCCCTTCCCAAATCACAAGTTGCGTGCTGGACAATTTGAGAGTTCTATGTATGTCACTGCTATGTAGAGAGGAAGACATGCTGTTGTATAGGCCGTGCTTCCCGCAGTGCAGGCCCAGTGCCACTGCTGGTAGAGAGATGACCGCAGGTGGCACCGGGGCACGGCATCACAGAACGGTGAACTGCACAGGGAGAAAGTGGTCTCTGAATGAGGGAGAAAACTCAGCTGAATGCCAATGGGTCTTTAGTGTCTATCAAGACTGGATAATAATCCCTTAACAAAGGTTACTTTGTTATCTTTCTAACAAAGAAAGAACAGACCTCAGGCACCAAGATCTCTGTAGGCAAGAGTTTCTAGCTAGAATCTGGTAACACTTTATTTGAACCATACTTATCGCTTGTTACTTTTTTTTTGGTGGGGGCAAGCTGACTCCTACTCATGGCAACCCCAAGGGTGTCAGAGTACAACTGTGCTCCACAGGGATTTTAATGGCTGATTTTTCCTAAGTAGATTGCCAGGCCTTTCTTCCAAGGAGTCTGTGGGTGGATTCGAACTCCCAGCCTTTCAGGTAGCAGCCGAGCAGTGTTAACCCTTTGCACCACCTAGGAACTCCTTCTACATGTAGCAGATTATATGGCTAGTCAGGTAAGCTTTCCTTTTTGAATGAATGTGTTTAAGTTTTTTTTTTTTTGAAGCTGAATCAATTTTAAAATATTAAGTAAATAAGAGTAGAGGTGGTTTGTGATTCTGCACCAATCATGGTGGTGGTGTGTGAATGCCCAGCATTTGGGAAAAAGCAGGGCAGTCAGGTGATGCTGCTAAGGTGTGTCTCCTGTTTCCATGAACGACAAGCTCTGTGACCTGGGGGTATTACTTACCTGCGCTTCAGCTTCTTCATCCATAAAATGGGGAGAAAAGAACAGTCTTGTTGTGAAGATTAGAAATACCAAAAACCCGTTGCCGTCAGTCAATTCCAACTCATAGTGGCCCCATAGGGTTTCCATGGCCGTAATCTTTACAGAAGCAGACTGCCATGTCTTTCTCCCATGAAGTGGTTGGTAGATTCGAACTGCCGACCTTTTGATTAGCAGCTAAGCACTTAACCACTGCACCACCAGGGCTCCTTGAGGATTAAGGATAATCTACACAAACTCCCCCAAAATAATTCTTGGGTTTGGGATCTGCTCAGTAGGTGGTAGTGATGACCTTATTTTTTTCCAGTTATTTCCAGTTCTCTTCATATAGAAAGCATCCATTACTATATTATAAAAATATACTATGCATACACTATCTTGAATTTTATATAATTTTATTTAATTGCTCTTTACATAAAATGAGCAAATTGTTACCAAGACTGCCCGGGTTACTACATTAAGCAGTGAGATTAGCTGCGCTCGAAATGTGCATGAATTTTTAAAAACTTTTCACTGAGGTATAACATGCATATAGGCATTGCAGTACCAGAGACTATGGTTTGATGCGTTCTCACACGCTTCACTCCACACACCCTAAACTAACCTCCTAAGGGTCAGGGGCTGTGAAGTCGTGACACCTGTTTATCAACAAACACCAGGAACATCTGCCTTCCTCCTTTCTGGGTCAAGACGAAGAATAAATTAAAGGAATAGCATGTATGCCAAAGCCACACATTCGAACAGGTACCACCTCCCACAGCAGTCCCCTTGGGAAGCAACAGAATCATTCTAGCATTAACCACAATAGCCTCGAAGGTTCTCAAGAACGGAGGCTGACTACTTAAGTCAAACCTCCTCTTCAACCAAAAAAACGGGCCTACACAGCTTGACCACCTCCTTCTTTACCAGGCGGAGCTCCAAATGACTTTTTTGCTTTTTCTAAAAATCAAATCCACCGTAAGAGGGTGAAGATTTCCAGAACTGAGTTTGTGTGAGAGGGTTAGTGTGAGTGTGTGTGTGTGTGTGTGTACGTGTGTGTTGTTTAACATCTACTACGTTAATTTCCGAACTATCTTGGGTAATAGCAGCATTTGCAAAATGTATGTTTGGAGCCAGCTGTGAAGGTCACCCCTTGTTAGGTGGGCCTCTGTTGGTGGCTGTGCTTGCAAATCGCCTCACCCCCCCACCACCCTCCAGAGTCAAACCCTGACCACCCCCCAGGCCCTAGGCCTGCCATTCAGCCACCTAGCCAGTGCTCTTCAATGAGGGTGGGGAAGAAGGCTGCTTAAATTTCTTAAGGCTCAGTTGGCAATAATTATTTTTACTGAGTTAAAGCATTTGCATCTCTCTTGGGGTATTAAAAAATCATCAATGTCTTCCCCCTTTGCCTGACACTGATTTCCATTGCAACCTCCATGTGTGGGCCCCGGGGTTCACAAACATCAGGACCTGAGGAGGCCTTTGCATGGGCAGGTTGAGTTTCTTCTTACCCCTCTCTACCCTGGGTCTACGTTCTTCTTCCTCCTCCACTTGTTCCGAGCTCTAAGCAGCCTGCACTGTGTCCCTGGGCCCAGAATTCTATCGACTGCCCGAAAGAGTCCAAGAAAACAAAACAAATTCCAAATGCACCTAAAATTCTTTGACGAGGATAATTTAGACATGGTCTGAGACTGTTTGCCTGAATAATCCATTTAAAGGCCTTCATTCTCTCTATCCCCTTAGTGGCTGGCCTGGTTAGTAAGAAAATCGAGTTAACAATCTCAGCCGTGAAAACAGGTGTGCTGGCTGTGATCATGACCTTCCGAAGGTGACCCAGGGCCCCACTAACTCATCAGACATCTTTAGAAAACTGCAGGCTGAGGTTACAACTGCTTCACAAGAGAAGGGCATTGGAAGTCAAAGCAATGCGGAGCCCCAGATGGTCCTTCTGATCTCTGCGTAGAGTCTGTGAACTTCTGCAGCACGGCTAAGCCTTCTTGCCATTGCAATTTCCAAACAAGCCCTTGTTTAGTCTTTGGGGCATGGACCAAAAAGGCAGTATGAGACCATGAAAAATGAGAAAAGTTTCCACACAATTCCAAATGAATTAAAAATTAAATGAAAAAAATATTTTTTTAAACTATAAAAAAGTACGGGTATGTATCTAACCATGGCAAACACACACGAACCAGGCTATGGACAAGCAAACATGAAGTACAAGCTGCCAGTAAGTATATTAAAAGGCTTGCCTCATTCAAGCAAAAACGAAAATTCAATCAACAAGTTATTATCATTCTTGCCCACAAAAATGACAAAACGCTTTTAAATATCCTGGGTTAGAATGCAATAGACAGGCTCATACACTGGTACAAAACAATTCAGCAACTTGTATCAAAGTCTGTAGAATCCACACTCTTGTTTTTAGCAAAACCACTGCTAGAATTTTTTCCCTAAGGAAGTAATAATAAGATACATGAACAAAGAATACTCTTCATTCCTGGAAAAAGCTGAAAACAAACCAAAATATTAATCATAGGCCATGGTAGAGAACACTCCAACAACGAAATAATATGTCAACCTTAAAAATGGTACTTCCCCCCACCCAGGGGGTAGGGGAGGTACTTAAAAAAAAAAAAAATCCACTGCCTTCCAGTTGATTCCGACTCATAGCAACCTTTTAGGACAGAGTAGAACTGGCTCACAGGGTTTCCAAGGGCGTAATCTTTTTTTTTTTTTAAATTATGCTTTCGATCAAGGTTTACAGAGCAAACTAGTTTCTCACTAAGCAATCAATACACATATTGTTTTGTGGCATTGGTTGCCAACCCACCCCACAACGTGTCAACACTTTCCCCTTCCCAGCCTTGGCTTCACCATTATCAGCCTTCCTGTCCCCTCCTGCCTTCTCATCCTTGCCCCTGGGCTGGTGTGCCCATTTAAGCTCATTTTGTTTTATAGACCTGTCTAATCTTTGGCTGAAGGGTAAACCTCAGGAGTGACTTCAGTACTGAGTTAAAAGGGTGTCCAGGGGCCATATCCTCAGGGTTTCTCCAGTCTCTGTCAGACCAGTAAGTCTGGTCTTTTTTTGTGAATTAGGATTTCGTTCTATATAAAAATGGTACTTTTGAAGATTTTTTAACAATATGAAAAAATGTTCAACGTATCAACTTAAGTATGAAAACAGCATCCAAGGCTTTTTTTTGCGGGGGGAGGGGTATTATTTCAACTTGGTTTAAAAGTATTAGCCATAGAGGCTGAAGTAAAATATGCCAAAATATGAATTTCAGTTATCTCGGTGTTTTTTTTTTTTCTGGTATTTTCCATTTTCTCAACAATGAATTGTATTACTTTTAAAATAAGAAAAACAACCAAATAAAAATCAAAACATTATGTTTAAACCTCTAAGATATTATATAAATTATACCGGTATTGCATTTTACAAACTTGGGGGAATTTACGTATTTTTCAGCTAACTACATTTCTGACCTAACAAATTTTATGTGGGACGCTATGGATTACATATGACATTCACATTGCGTTTCAATTCAAAACGCAGACGCTATAACAACAGTATAATTAGACTAAACTTTACTTTTCCCACAATGGAATGAAAACTCAAATCTAGACAAGATTTCTTAGAAGCAAAGCAATTTTTTCTGGAATAATTTCTCCTTTGCAGCCCTTCAAATCCTGAGGAAGCAGCACTTGTACAGAGTGCCCTCCTGGCTGACTCTCCGCTCTATCTATGATATGGACGGGCGGGCGGGTGAGTGTCTGCAAGCTGGTTCACTCTTCCTGGATGCAGCCGTTCTTTTCTATTTCTGAACTGCCTTTCATTAGAACTGAATACCACAGGTCACGAGGGCATTTGTGACCCCTTCTCCTAATTCAGGTTTGGACGGTAGGCAGTCATTCCAGGTATCACTGAGCGAGTCCTGTGCTAACACATGGGTAGATTTAATCTCACCTCATTCAGGACACCTCCTTCAATCACTCCCACCTCATATTTGTCCTTTATCCTTTTGCGTAATTATAAGCAGGAAAAAATCTCAAATAAATATATCGAATTCACTTTTTCCACTTCTCTCTTCAATTCAGGCACCAGCTAAATGCAGCACTTCTTCCTCTGACCCGGAGCTAGATCAGACCTCACAAGTTCAAAAAGCGGACAGATTACCAAGTCTGCCCAAGACTTTAGATCCCAGCCAGGATCTCGGAAGTCTCAAGGCCCCCTCACCTCAACATGCTAGCTACAGATTTGGGGATTTCCTACTACCATTGGCTTCAGGATGCCAACCACAGACCCCTCACTTTTGCCCTGCTGACTCCCATTACGCTCTCCGGTCTAATAGTTCACTGGAATGACTACAGAACTAACAGAAAGCCCTATACTTACAATTACAGTTTTATTACTGTGAAAAGGATGCAAATGAAGAAACATATAGGGCAAGGTCTAGGAGAGTTCTCAGCGCAGACCTTCCACGTCCCAGAAGGGGGTGCACTACCTTCCCACTGGCACCGACGTCTTGCACCTACCAGGAAGCCCATGGAGCTTCCGTGCCCAGAGCCTTTATTGGCTTCGTAGTCATGACTGGGGCCTCGCTGCATAGGCATGGTTGGCCGAATCATGCCTCCCCTCCCTGAAGTCAGCTGATAACAGGTCACATAGTAGTCTCTCTGGCTAGGCCAGCCCCAGTCCTCAGCACAAACCCTCAAGTGTGGTCTGGAAGCCTAGGTAACAAAAGCACCTCAATTACTCAGGAAATTACAAGGGCTTAGAGGTATCTCTCGAGAACCAAGGGCAAAGACCAAATTACTTTGGGTAAAGTTAAATTCTTTACACCACAGATTATTCTTCTCTTGCTGACACATCAACATGCTTTTGCCTCATGATTTTCTACATACGACTTTCATGTCCCTCATGCCCACAAGAACACAGGCTTCTGAAGCTACTTCTGAAGTCATTTTTCCTTCTTTTAGATCTTCTTCATGATGCAGATGACGTGGCCCTGCATGTAGTACACTTGCAAAAACATAGCTCATAATCGGTACTGTTTCCCAGGATTCTCTCCATAGTGCACGTTTTTTGAAAGAAACACCCACGCAAGCCGTCAAGACTCAAGCCTGCCCTCTGCTTACCTGCACTTGCGCACTGGGTTTGTGGTGGGCGTTCTGACGGGCAGCAGCAGGTCCTTGGTGTAGGCTGCACTGAGGGTCAGGGAGTCTCCGTCACAGGTTAGGGAAATCAGGACCAGACGAGGTTCTTGTCGAGCTGTAACCATGTTCCCTTCCTCGCTGATCACAAGCCAAAACCTGCCATTTTCAAGACACAATATTTGCATGGACCAACACGACGGGCAGCCAACCTTAGTGGGAGCTTCAGTTACTCACGGTCATCTACGGTTTCCTCCCGCTAAGCCTGGTATGTGTGAGTCTGTCTGCTTTTCATGAACATCAACTCAGCAGCACAGTAAGCCTGAGTCGGTCAGTTAATTTCAAAAAGGGTTTAATAATCACTCGAGCATCTGACATATAAAATTTGCAAGACATTTTGAGCTCTTTGATGGCACAGAAATCAAAGATGTTATATTTTCATTAAATATGCCCCAAGAAGACAACAATAATCTACATCTCCAAAAGATGTAAGAGCACAAGGAAGCGCAGTGCCTGGCACACAGCAGACATGACTCATGCCAAGGGAAAACAGCAAGGCTATTCCATGCATTATTCACAGAGCAGTAAGGTCAGCTGAGAAGCACGCAAACACCTCTTAGACCTTGACAAATTCGCCCCTCCTCTTTAATGAATGTTTCACTAACTGAAACATTAAATGAATATCCATTAAATATCATATTAATATTAATGGAGCCCTGATGGCATAGTGGTTAAGAACTCGGCTGCTAACCAAAAGGTCAGCAGTTCAAATCCACCAGCCACTCCTTTGAAGCCCTGTGGGGCAGTTCTACTCTGTCCTACAGGATCAATATGAGTCAGAACTGACTCGACGGCACCTAATAACAACAACAACAATAGCAATATAGTCAAGGCTGTGGGTTCTGCAATTTGCTAAAAGGTCAATTCTTAATCTGAACAATATTTTTCCTGGGTCAGTACTCCTGGTCTCCAGGTACGTCCCAGAAAGAGAGATAAAAGGAGAAAAGAGAGTAATAGAAAGAACAGCTTCCAGCTTCCAGAAAAACATTTCAAGAAAAGAACACAATTGTGTAGGTTACCTCTCAGCTACTAGGAAGCTAGCCATATGTGGAAACATTCTGGTAATCTCAATTCACACTGGATTAAATGATGACAATTATACAAGTGAGCGTGTGCTTTTGGGATACACAGATATAAGGGGAAAAATACAGCAGGTGTTTTAGGTCTTCGAAGCAATAGGCCTTGCATCACCTCCCCAGGAGTTCTCATGGCTGAGTTCTTCAGCTACCTGAGAAAAAACAAGTCAGCCCTTTCCCTAGTGCAAGCTCTTTCTCCAGCTGCCCTTTTATCAATCCTTCATCCTGCACACAGACAGAGCCCTGCCCTGCCCTGAATTCTTCCCACCAGCGCCTGAGTATTCTTTTAGTACTAATAATGGCAGACTATCTAAACGTTAATCTGGTCTTGTCGCTCCCTCAGTCTAACTCCCTCAATGGCTCCGTCTGCCTTTAGGATAAAACCCTAACTCTTAAGCAAGGCTGCCTCCTCCATCGCTCTCACCTCCCAGCACCCCACAGGTGCCAGCCTTTCTTACCATGCCCCAGCACACCTTGTTCTCAACTCCTCGCACCCCACAAGTGCCAGCCTTTCTTACTGTGCCCCAGCACACCTTGTTCTCTCCTCCCTGCACCCCACAGGTGCCAGCCTTTCTTACTGTGCCCCAGCACACCTCATTCTCTCAAGCCCAGTCTCTTTGTCCAGCTTATTTCTTCTCTCTAGACCTGCTATGCCTGGAAAGTTCACAATCATTTTTCGAGTCTCAGCTCAAGCTGTTACCTCCCCTGTGAAGCCCTTCCTCACCACCTCAGGCGGCTTCCTGGGCTCGCCCTTTGTGCTCCCCGGCATGTGTGCCTCCTTCCGAGTCAGCTGTCACACAGGACTCTCGGCCTTTGTTCGCTTCTCTTGATGCCACTTTCTGATAGTGTGATG